TCATGGAGTTTATATTTTAAGAAAAGGGTGGACATAAGCAATAAACAAAATAAATACAATCTTTGATTGGTCACATGGTAATAAGTGCTGTGGAGAAAAATAAATCAGGGTGAGCAGGTCAGTGTAAGTCTGGAGGGGATTCTGGCAATTTCAAATAGCATGTTCAGGAAAGGACCCTGTAAGAAGATATGAGTGAGCAGAGGAGGAGATGATGAAGCAGCTCTGAGGACACCAGTAGGCATTCTCCTGGGATGGGAAGCCACTGGGGGATTTGAACAGAGGGATGACATGATGGACTTCTGAGCTAACAGGCTCACTCCGGGTAGAGTACAGTAGGGCAAAGTCGATGCAGGGACCCCGGTGCAGAAGCTACAGGAGAGCTGGTGAGAGGTGGTTACATTTGGATGCATCGTGAAGGAGGAGGTTGCAGGGTTTGCTAAAGAATTGGATGTGTGGTAACAAAGAGAAAAAGAGGAGTGAAAGCTAACTTCAGATTCTGGGCCTGAGGTGGTAAAGACTGGAGAGAGGTTAGGGTGGGGGTCATGGAAGAGGACCAGGAGTCTGGCTTGGGTGAGTGCCAATGCCTACTGGATATCAAGTGGCCATCTCAGTTAAGCAGTTGGATAGACAAGTCTGGAACTAGAGGCCAGGTTCTAGGTTAGAGTTGTAAATTTGGGAATTAATGATCAGTATATAGAAAATTGATACTAAAGCCATGAGACTGTATAAATCACTAAAAGAGAGTGTGTCAATAGAGGTGGAAAGAGGTCCAAGGACTAAGGTGGAATCCAGTGCTACTAAGAGTTTGAGAATTAAGCAGTTTCCAGCCAAGATGATGAGATGGGGAGTGGCCAGTCTTATCAGCTGGAGAAAACCCAGAAGAATGTAGTAGAAGCCAAGTGAAGAAAGCATTTCAAAAAGGAGACATCATTTCTGGAATATCAGTTGTTAGTGGTTGAATCTACACTTGCAGATTTTCTGTGTCAAGTGAGGATGTCATATGTACACATCAACTCCCCTGAAGGATGCTTTATAATCGCATCTAGTAAGGAGAACAGGTTTGCATATATGTAGGTTGTATCATTATATTCCAAATAGACATCATTTTTGGAACACCCAGTATTTCTTACTTTCCACACCTATTCCTATGTCTGTCACCACAAACGATTATTTCTAATTGCAGTATGGTTGTCTTCTCATCTCATGGAAATGTTATCAAAATCAGTGTGATTACAAAAGAAGAATAATCTAATTCTCAGCCATGTGGGTTTGCTACACCACACAGTAAACATTACTTCTATTTATTTGAAAATGTTGAATTTACATTAGATTATAAATGTGTAATATTCTGGGAACGCAGCATATTATAAAATGAAGCTGCTGTGTGAATGTATTCATCATAAGAACATGTTGACCATATTTTTTTTACTCAAACCATATTCTATCTCCAATCCTGCCTAAGAAATCTGGCTTTCTCACTCCCTTAGGAGATAAAGCATTTTATTTAAATCACCTTTCCTGATAGTTGATCTAAGGGAAGAGGGAAAAGAAATAGATACAACTCACAGCCTCAGGATATAGACATCCTGTCTCCATTCCTTTTAGCTTTTACTGGACATCAGGCTGCCAGTCTAATAAGGCAACAAAGAAAAGTAAACAGAAATGAAAAGCAAAATAAATAGCAGTCTTTATCCCACTGGAAATAACCATAAATTTAAAAATGCAACCTTGGCTATATCGTGAAAGGATTTTCTTGGTCTGTTTCCATAGCTGTATTTTATTTTCTGAACTAATCTAGACTTTTTCTTAAGATTCATTTTGTACACCAGTCTTGTTTACCCTAAAAATCTTTTGCAAAACAATTTCTCAGTAAATCGTGCTGTATCTATGCCATGTGGCATCATCCTGCAAACCCAAACTCTGGGTTCTAAGCAACAGTGAAAAACTAGGTAGCATAATTTCTATGACTTGTGTTTTCATGGACCTACTGAGATGGAAGACTAAATATAAGGGATACAGGTAGCTTCCCTTGGCTTCACAAATCTTTGATGTTAAGTCATGTGTCCTACAAACCCATGTGCACCTGTCCTCAATGCCTTTGTCTGTTTTACAGTCTTCTTCTGGCATTATCTAATGAAATCTATAAAAAGAGAATATTTCCTTCCCATTACAACAGCAAAAAAAAAAAAAAAAAAAATTTCAAGAATGAAGCCAAAAATGTCATACCATGTCACAGTCCCATCTTAATAGTAGGTCTAAAAGTCATTAGCACCAGACCATCACTTCAGGTCAAAGCAGAGTTTCAAAACCAAACCCTCTATAGACTTAACATTGAAATGTGATTATTATCACAAAAATATTGAAGTAAAAAATGAGGTAAACAATTTCTTAATGTCAGTTTGTTTTTTGATTGACATCATTGTTCTATTACATTTATGTTCTGCATTTTGGTATGAACCATTGTTTTCTTTTGTTTTTTAATTTTTTAATTTTTTTTATTAACATATAATGTATTATTAGCCCCAGGAGTACAGATCTGTGAATCGCCAGGTTTACACTTCACAGCACTCATCATACCACATACCCTCCCCAATGTCCATAACCCAACCACCCTCTCCCTAGCCCCTCCCCCCAGCAACCCTCAGTTTGTTTTGTGAGATTAAGAGTCTCTTATGGTTTATCTCCCTCCCTATCCCATCTTGTTTCATTTATTCCTTTCCTACCCCCCAAACCCCCCACATTGCCTCTCAACTTCTTCATATCAGGGAGATCATATGATAATTGTCTTTCTCTGATTGACTTATTTCGCTCAGCATAATACCCTCTAGTTCCATCCACGTCATCGCAAATGGCAAGATTTCATTCCTTTTGATGGCTGCATAGTATTCCATTGTGTGTATATGTGTGTGTGTGTGTGTGTGTGTATATATATATATATATCACATCATCTTTATCCATTCATCTTTTGATGGACATCTAGGTTCTTTCCATAATTCGGCTATTGTGGACATTGCTGCTATAAACATTCAGGTACATGTGCCCCTTCGGATCACTACATTTGTATCTTTAGGGTAAATACCCAGTAGTGCGATTGCTGGGTCTCAGGGTAGCTCTATTTTCAACTTTTTGAGGAACCTCCATGCTGTTTTCCAGAGTGGTTGCACCAGCTTGCATTCCCATCAACAGTATAGGAGGTGAACCATTGTTTTCTATTAGGAATCTTCCCTAAAGATTAGGAACCAAGGTAAATTTAACTCCATTTTATCTGTTCTACACAGGACCATAATGGGAGAGATACAGTCATTCTCTGATATTTACCAGAAATATTTACTTACTAGAACTGTCACCTGGTACAAGGCCACTGTACCAGTTGTACAGTGAGAATAGAAGAAAAGAGAAGATGATGGGCTATCTATGGCTACTATTCACTTAAGGGTATCTAGATCTACCTCATAGATAATGTTTTGAGTTTCTTTTTTTAAAATTTAAATTCCTGTTAGTTAACATACAGGGCAAAGTTGGATTCTGGAGTAGAATTCAGTGGTCCATCACTTACATATAACACTCAGTGCTCATCACAACAAGTGCCCTTTTTTTTTTTTTTTAAAGATTTTGTTTATTTACTTGACAGACTGAGATCACACATAGACCAGAGAGGCAGGCAGGGGTGGGTGGTGGGAAGCAGGCTCCCTGCTGAGCAGAGAGCCCGATGCAAGACTCCATCCCAGGACCCTGAGATCATGACCTGAGCTGAAGGCAGAGGCTTAACCCACTGAGCCACCCAGGGGCCCCAACAAGTACCCTTCTTAATACCCATTACCCAACTAGACCATCCCCGCCGACCTCCCTCAAGTTTCTTTTTTAATATATAAAGAGGAATAAGATACGACCTTAATGAATACCAGCAGGTTTCACTACTCCTTCCATCAGTTTTCCTCCAGTGTGAAAAAAACACAGGCAAATCTATCTGATGCTGCCATATTATAAACTGTCACAAGATTTTGCTGAACCCCAAATGAAGATTTCAGACTTGGGCCTGCTGAAGCAACTGATTCCCAAAGGGATGAAACTCTTAAGGATCCCGCTTATTTTTCACATCAGAACTCACAGAAAGTGATAAAAAGCCAATGATTCGTCATTGGCCAAGGGAAAGATCTTTCCAGCATTTCTAATTTCTTTAAATAAATTATAAATTTTGTAACGACTGCTTTCCACCACCACCCCCTTCCCCCCCCCCGCCCCCTTTTTTTTTCCAGGTACAGAGCAGTTGCCTCCTGGAGTCGAGTTCAGGGAATTGGGATTCCCTTGATCACTGCCATTGAGATAGTCTCCATCTGGATCCTTTCTTTTATCCTGGCCATCCCTGAAGCTATTGGCTTTGTCATGGTGCCCTTTGAATATAAGGGTGAACAGCACAAAACCTGTATGCTCAATGCCACGTCAAAATTCATGGAGGTATGGAGAGTATAAAGAAAATTAACTGGGGGAGGGAGAGGAGGTCTTCATTTATATGTTATCATCGCCAAGACTTGATATTTCTACAGTGCCCAGCGTGGTTTACTCTTTTAGTTTGGTCACATATTCTTCAGCTGCATGAAAAGTACACGTTATGGGAGGGTTTAGCTTCTTGAATAGAACTATTTTGTTTTCACTCTTATAGCACAATCGTAGACAGGACTGTTCTGCACCAAACAACTCAGAGTCTAAAACAAACATACTCAATGCTCACTTCGGTAGCACATGAACTGAAAGAAACTGAGAAAAAAAGATGGATATGCTATTTGTTTTTATAATAAGCAACACAGCACAACAATTTCCATCTGACAGGCATGCTAATAGGCATTTTATGTTACTTGGGCAAATGCACAATGCTCACATTTTTTTTAAAAGATAGATTTATTAACTTAAAGTAGGAAGCCATACTTACAGGTACTTATGGTCGTACAATTCTGCATGTATTATACAAATGATATAAATTTGCAGAACTTTTTTTAAAGTGTTTTAGTTAAGCGAATTCCGTCTTTATTTAATACACCTGACCACATTAATGTTTTTCTCCAGACTTTAATTATGTAATTGAGTGTATTGGAAAACATGTTTAAAATGCATATTTCCTTTACCAAACTAGTCAAATGTGGACGGAGGAGAAAAACGAAAAGGGTAACTACTTCTATTAAACCGGCATGATTTAGGGCTTTGATGTAGGTTTCATACAGCTCAGATTCCACATTTAATCATTTACAGACATCTCCAGGTATGTTTTCCTAACTTGGAAAATTCACAAAATTAGTGGTTTTACAGTTGACCAGTTTTCCTCTTTGGAAATTCTTATTTTAAATTTAAAAGTGCTCTTGAAAACTGCCAAACTGGCAATGGTAAAATGAAGGTATTCTGTTTATCTACTGACCTTTTTATTAAGTCAGTCTCCAAAGTGAAAGAACAAAGAAAACAGCAGGAGGTTATCAGAATTTGGGAAGTGGCAATAAGCCATCTAGATATTCCAGGCTAAAGTGTTCGAGAAAAGAGTCTTGATATAAGAAGGGGCTACTAATCATGTGAACCAGGCAAAATGAAAAGAGCTTTCGAAAGACAAGTCTCTAATAAGAGTGGGCAAGCAAAGGTTGGCTACCTTAGGGTTTCAGTAAAAGGTAGGAGTTTATACTGATCATTTTTTACATTCCGTTCCAAGTCTGAAGTTTCCAGATTCTTTTTCTCCTCTTGTTCCCTAGTTTGTGTTCCATTCTTTCCTCCTCAACTTTGCTCTAACCTAGAGTGGAGGGAGGTCCCTTCATACCCTGGCTGATGTTCAAAAGTTCAAAAGAAATGTGTGACCCCTTTCTCTACAGGCCTGTGCCTTGGAGGGGGAAGGGGCTCCACCCAGACCCCTCAGGGGTCAGCTTCCAAACCCTCTGCAGCTGCTTCTGCAGCATTCATACCCAGTCAGCAATGCATCTGGAAGGGGGGCGGGAGGGGAAAAGAGTTCTGATTTTTGTTGTTGTTGTTGTTGTTGTTTTGACTTCAGTACTGAAATCTTCTACAGTGTGATATGGAAAGGGAGATATTTGTATGAATACATCTGAATAAACCAACTCCTTTGGTAGTTTACAGTAACTTTAGGATAGAATTCAGGGGCCTGTGAACTTAAATGGAAAAGAAATTACATATTTATTTTCACTAACTTCTAACTGGAATTTATCATTTCCTTCTATTATGAATGTAGGCAATGAACCACAAGCATATTTAACAGAACCATATTTCTACTAATAGGAATAATAGACATTTTCTTGTCACAATAACAGATAATCTTGAAATATCATTTATGCTCATCACTTTCCAACTTCTGATAGTTATTAGAACCAACATTAGATTTTTCCCTTAACTTATTAATAAACACCTCTATTTCTATATCAGAATTTTCTTTTTACTATTTCAACAGCTGTGTTTCAATGTAAGTGGTTACCCTGTAATCTTACTTTTAGGCATATAGAAGTGTTATTCTCAGAAAGGATTACAGTCTTCACCAGACGTTCAAAGGGGTCGATGGCATAAGAACAGTTAAGAACCTCTGCCCAGAACTTTTTTTCCTCAAGAGCCATTTATAGATTATTTTAATAGACATGTTACAAGTGTAGCCCACTAGGCCTCTTTCTATATTCAGCAACCATCCAGTTTTTCACAGAGCAGCATGATTATTTTTTACTGTGGGAACTGAGATGATACAGGAGGCCGCATTATCCTTCGTAAATAAACAATCTGGAGAAAGAACACAGAGCAAAGCATTTCTAAGTTAGCGATTAATTTAGTGGAAGGAAGCATGTAGATACAATTTTCTAATTTCCATTTTTATAGGGTACTAAATTTTCTCCTTTAAAAACACATAAAACTGAATAATCCTCTATTTACAAAGCCTGCGCACAAGGAGATAATGCTAACTATGGCTTCAGATAAGATACTCGACCTCAATAGTTTCCAGGTGATAAGTATTAAAGAGTGAGAAAGGACATGGTTTTTGAGGGCTCAAACTGGCGGGCTGCAAGGTCACATAGCAAGCATACCAGGCAAAGGGTTAACTCCCAGTAACCAGAGCTGCACAGATAAGCCATTCATAACCTTTGTTGTTACCAAACAAGACTCCCATTAAGTACACTTTAACCACGAGTCAAAAGGAAACCAGGCACTAACAAAATTTTGAGGCTCATCAATAAGTAAAGATAAATACATATTCTGTTTATCTCAAAATCATGCTGTATGAGCTTTGGAAGGGAATTCTTTTTCTTGATTAGGGCGTCTCCCATTGTGTAATTAAAACCAACTTCAGTTCATAATAAGTATCTTTGTCAGGATCATTTATTTCGAAGTGACATTCTTTCATGGGCTTTTATAAATCCACGATGATTTTTGGAGTTTCCAATTGAATTGAGTTTGAGCGTCACCCCCAAGCCCTTTGCCACAACCAGAGGGTGTGCACATAGAAACGTTCCTGCAGGCGTGAAGATTTTGAAGTCATCAGAGGTACTGCCCAGTAAGTTTAGATTATAATACCCCTCCGTTTCTCTCCCTTTTATTCACCTTACAGTTTTACCAAGATGTAAAGGATTGGTGGCTCTTCGGGTTCTATTTCTGCATGCCCTTGGTATGCACTGCTATCTTCTACACCCTTATGACCTGTGAGATGTTAAACAGAAGGAACGGCAGCTTGAGAATTGCCCTCAGTGAGCACCTTAAACAGGTAAACCTCATAGGCTCGTGAAAATTTGGCCAAGACTGATTTGTCCAGACAACAGAAAGCCTATAGATATTGTATTCAGCTGACGTAGCCTCATTTCCTAAAAATAAAAATAGTGTCTTATAATTGTTTTCTTTATAGTTTTAATATTAGGAATTTCTTTTGTGAATGTGGATAGCCTACCGACAAAAGAGGTGGCCATGGGGGCAGGGCCAGATAGAGAGGAACTCTGATTTAGTTTGCCAAGAGTATATTCAACACGTGTGTTTGTGTGTCTGTGAACTGAACTGGGCTTTTTGGAACTGTGCCAGGACACAAAGAAGCAGATGAAGTCTTGGTGCAGAAATAAAATACAAATATGAAACATTTGGAAAACAGAATCACAAGGTATGGTAGAAGTGGACTGTTTTGTGGGAAGCCAAGGAGGATGTAAGACAGAGTCACAGAGACGTTTGTCATAGATGAGGGAGATTGAGTTGTTCGTCAAGGATAAAGGCATTTGACAGGGAAGGAGATGACAGGGGGCATATTTCAAGTGCAAGGACAAGAGTCCAGTGAGAACATGGCATGGGCACCATGCATTTGGGGAGTGGGGAAAAAGAGACGAACCTCATTAGAGAAACATCTCAATGTCCACAACAGCCACATCAACAGATGAATGGATAAAGAAGATGTTTTAAACACACACACACACACACACACACACACACACACACACACAGGAATACTATGCAGCCATCAAAAGAAATGAAATCTTGCCATTTGCAACAACATGGATGGAACTAGAGGGTATTATGCTGAGCGAAATAAGTCAATCAGAGAAAGACAATTATCATATGATCTCCCTGATTTGAGGAATTTGAGAGGGAGGGTGAGGGGTTTGGGGGGTAGGGAAGGAAAAAATGAAAGATGAGATTGGGAGGGAGACAAACCATAAGAGACTCTCAATCTCATGAAACAAACAGAGTTGCAGGGGGAAGGGGGATTGGGAGAGGGTGGTTGGGTTATAAACATTGGGGAGGATATGTGCTATGGTGAGTGCTGTGAAGTGTGTAAAATCTGATGATTCACAGACCTGTACCCCTGGGGCAAATAAGACATTATGTGTTAATTAAAAAAAAAAAAAAAAAAAGAAACATCTAAGGTAAGACTCATGATAGGATTCGGGATTGGGTACAGAAAAAGAGGTCAAATTTTGAAGAGCCCAGGAAGCTGTTGTTGGTCCCCCATGCCCCTCCCCCAAGCAGCAAACAGAACAGATACAGAGGTGGCTTTAGAGGGCAAAGCTTTACACTTAGACTTGCTGAGCTCTGTGATTTTGGGCAAATTGCTTAATCTCTCTGAATCCCTAGTTTTTCATAAGATGCATATAATAATACTTGCATCTTTCTGTACAAATATTAATTCAAGTCTTAAAAAATTATATAAAATGTATATAATAATACATCAAAGGGATCACCTAATGCATATACCATAGCTCATATTAAGTACCCAGAAAATGTTATATATTAATTCAAAGAGTAAAACTAGGACCGCCCATAAGTTCTCAGTCTGAGCAGAGAAGTATATAAGAACACCCAGCCGCACCAGAAGTTAATGAGTTGTTGATGGAGCCCATAAATCTGTCCTATACAATCACCATTCCTCATCAGTGACTCCTTTCCACTACTGTACTGATTTTTCTGAGCTTCAGCTTCTTTATCTGTAAACTGGGCAAAATAGTATGTGAATTGATATCACTACAGAAATCAAAAGAATTAAGTGCATACAGGGGCGCCTGGGTGGCTCAGTGGGTTAAAGCCTCTGCCTTCAGCTCAGGTCATGATCCCAGGATCCTGGGATCAAGCCCCGCATCCGGCTCTCTGCTCAGCATGGAGCCTGCCTCCCCTTCTCTCTCTGCCTGCCTCTCTGCCTACTTGTGATTTCTGCCTGTCAAATAAATAAATAAAATCTTTAAAAAAAAAATTAAGTGCATACATATACTTTGTAAAATCTGACATGCATACAAAAGGTAGCTATTATCTTTCAGTAAAATTTAACAGAAAAAGTAGATTTGAGTATGACTTGTTCAGGCATGAATGTTTCAAGGGCTCCAAATGGGAACTATATCAAACAATGCTGGCCTCTCACTCCTGCAGTAGAGGTAATTAATTAGAATAAATTTGTAAAAAACAAAAAGACAATGTTCTTCAGTGCTGAAATTTTCATTAATACCATAATTGAGCCTGTTTAAGTTATGAATGGTAACTGCTCTGAAAATAACTGAACAGAATTGCCTGTGAGGATAATAGGATTCTGCTTCACATTTCCATTGCATTCTTTATGTTTCCAAAGAGCATGTCATTTGTTTGATTCCTCCAAGCACCCTGTGATATAGGCAGGACAGACCTCCTTATACACTTGATTATGAGACTGGCTAATCCAAATGCAGATTAAAACTGAAGTCTTGGTCCTATGAGGCATTGCCTAGCGTCGCACCAAAAGTTGTAACAGATTTTAACAGCGAGAGCAGGCCGGGCTTCAAGACCTTCCGTCGGGGCCGTGGGGAACTAAATTCAGAGAAAGGCCCTGCCACCCTTTGGCTAGTATCCTACTTGGCTCCCGGTTTTGCTTCCTGCGTGGTTTTCTCAAATTTCTCTTCATTATTCTGACAACAACTTTTATCAGTTAGGGATTGTGTTTGGATGCTGGTAGCAGAAAACCCAAAATAACATTGAGTAAAACAAGTGAGGGTTTCTTCATTCTCCCACAGCAAAAAAATCAGATGTCACAGGTTCAGTGCTCAAGGGACTCGGAAGCCAGGGCTCTGCCCTTTTTGCTGACTTTTCCGTTAGAAGACAGGAACTACAGCTCTACCTTCTCTCAGATTTCCAGGCAGCAAAAAGGGCAAGAATATAGACCACATTAGTGTTTGTGCATCTGAGGACTAGCCTCCACTTTTTAGTAGCTTTTCCAGCAAACTCACACAGCGATTTCTACTTGATCTCAGCAGTCAGACTGTGTCAGGTGGCCTTGAAGTCGATTAGCCTGAACTCCCCTGCTGCAGCAACAAAATCAAGGATTTGACTGATACAAGGAGAACAGGAGAAGACATACTGGTTAAGCAAATACAAGTACCAGACTGCCATGGCAACAAATTAATAATGGGTTTTGAAGGATCGTCCTCTGAGGATTTGCTCAAGGGAGACAGCCTCTCCCCCAGTACCCTCCTTTTCTCTTTTTCTGGTCACACTTTCCGTGTACACAAAAGGATCCTTTAAAATGAGCCCCTATTCCTACAGATCGGAACTTCTTATTTTCTCAATTGTTGCTCAGCTTGGATGTTCTCTGAAGCCATAGTCCACCCAATAACTTAAAAGATTAAAGAACCCCAGTCCTTCGGGCTAGAGCCACAATTTGTGACGAATGCCTTGAAATCTTTTTAAACGGCTCTATTAATCATGTGGGTTTATTGTAGGCTGCCCATACTTAATGCTATGTGCTTTGGGTTGAACCAACATTACCCTTCCAAGTCCTGTTTTCAATCAATTTTATTTTGACATTAACTGATCCCAGTTACAGACAAGTTGCATTTTATGTTCCTAGTTAGGCTTTCAAATGCATGCATTGTAATACTCAAGCATGATGCACACAAGTGTCTGGTTGCAGATAATTCCTAACCTATGATTTTTCTGGTCCTACACAAACTCTAAAGTATGTAAACCTTCAAACTGAGGTCAGTCCAGGGTTAACATGTCCCAGTCATTCTAATCAACATTGCTGATAATCCTTTTCCCTCATCCCTCTGTTTGCAAACAGAGGTCTTTGGAAGCTACATGTCATTAATAAGAGAATTTTAAAAGCAAAAAACTCCCAATGTTAGCTTTCTTCAACATCAAGAAATGGAGAAAACACATCGCTATTGGCTTTTATCTTCTATTCCCTACTTCTGTTTTCCAAATATCTTCGTAGATTTGTTCATTCTTTATTATGTTGGGTTCAGTCACATTGACTGCCATGCTGTCATTAATGCTAGTTACCCATCATT